TTCTGTGGCTGGTCTTTTCACTTTCTAGATAGCGTCCTTTGATGCACAAAAGTTTTCAATTTTGATGATGTGCAATTGATCTATTTTTTGTTGTTGTTGCCTGTGCTTTTGGTGTCATATCTAAGAAACCGATGCCAAATTCAAGGTCATGAAGATTTACCCCTAAGTTTTCTTCTAAGAGCGTTATAGTTTTAGCATTTACATTTGGGTCTTTGATCCATTTTGGGTTAATTTTTGTATATGGTGGGAGGTAGATTCCTATGTCATTCTTTTGCCTGTGAATATCTAGTTTCCCAGCACAATTTGTTGAAGAGACTTTTCTTTCCCCAATGACTGGTCTTGGCACTGGTATTGAAAATCAATTGACCACAGATGTGTGAGTTTACTTCTGGACTTTCAATTCTATTCCACTGATCCATAAGACTATCCTTATGCCAAAACAATATTTTTTAAATGTAAGTTTCATTATGTCACTTCCTTATTTAAACCTCTCCCCCAAAGGATTTGATTTGCACTTAGATGAAAATCTAAATTCCATGCTTAGCTTACAGAGCTCTAGCCATCCAGCCCCTGCCTACCCCGGCTTCAGCCGCAGTGGGTCAATTTCTAGTCTTTAAATTTGCCAAGTTTGTGCTTGTCTTACCCTCTTTGTACTACTGCTTCCCGCCGAGAATCCTCTTCTGCCTCATCCCCACCTCACAGTCTTCTTCCTGTCATTCAGATTGCAGCCAGAATGTCTCCTGTTCAGATACCACCTCACATCCATTAGGGAGGCATCCCGCTCACTCTCTAACATGTTATCCTATTTTATTTTCCTAAATAAAATTTATTATTTTATATTTTTATTTGTTTAATGCATTTTTTAATTTTCTCCCTCTGCTGAAGTGTAAGTCCTATGAGAGCAGGGACCTTGTCTGCTCTGTTCACCTGTGTCCTCCACGTGCAACAGAGCACCCGGCTCGGAGTAGGCACTCACTAAAATGCGTCTGTTGAAACGAAATCACCCAAACCCAGTAGTTGGTGCTCTGCTTCCTCTAGTGGCCACTGGTTGAATAGCATCCCCTGAGAGTCAGCGGCTCAAAGGGAGCCGGACCAACAGTGAACAAGCAAATGAAGCTGCCTCATCAGTGTAGAGCATATTAAGACAGCATGAGTCCACTTTCTTTCTATGAGTTTTATCTGAAATTAGATATCCTGTAAACACATCCAAGTCCGCAGGTTATTCTTACTATTGCTAAATTCTTCTTTATGTTCATACTCTCAGTTTCCACTGATATGAAGACTAGACCAACAATAACTTTCTTCTCAGGTGTTCAGAATCATGAGGATTCCCTTCAAAATCTCCTTAATGTACAACTGCACACGTTAGTTACAATGCTGGTGACTAACAGGAACATTACACTGAAACAGGGGAGCCTAATAAAATCAGGACACACTGAGATGAACCTGTACCTTCTACAGTGTGAGCAGAACTTGCTCATGCGGATCTGTTCTCTTCTTTTTATATCAGCTTTGGAGAGCAAGGTGTTTGCTGGAGATTACTGAAATGACCCTAAAAGATCATGAAAAAAAGCAATGGCTAAAATTAATCACGGAGGGGTTTGAGAAAAAGTCAGGGCAAAGAGAAAGTTGAACAGGATATATGAAACAATGAAGTTAAGAGAGATAAAGTCACAAATGCCCTGGTGGAGGTGTGAACAAAAAGTAAGGGGACTGTTCCTCATCCCCACCGCACACACATGCACACACAGATACACATACATTCGTATTTCAGTGGAATTATATGATTTTATACATTCATTGATTTTAAAATTATTTGCTCATTTATTCAACGTATATTTAACATTAGTCTTTCTAGTAGTTGCCAACATAATTCTAAATAATATGATTTGACCTCTATTTTCAGATTTATCAATTTTGCACAGTATTCAATGCTCTCCCAATATATTGCTACTGTTTTTTTCATTAGTTTTTTCCATGTTTATGGATAATGGAGAATCAAGGTGGTGCATTGTCATTACCCTGATGGTTTGAAAACTGAGGCTCAACTTAGCGCTTCTGCTTCATAAGAGCAGGAGGAGAGTTTCCTGCACTGAACACTAAATAGAAAGGAAAGGCACAAGGACAATTCTGGTCATATTTAATTAAGTTAGTATGTGTAAAGCACTCAGAACAAAACTTAGCCCCCAGTGAGGGCTATATAAGTGCTTGTTAAATAAAATGTGTTAAAATCTAAAGCAATAAGTGCTACACTAGAGATACTGGAAATATTGCTTTAGGCGTGCAGCAGAGATGCAATGCCTAACTCTGTTTAGAGGGCCAAGGAAAGCTTCAGAAAAAAGAAACTCTGGGCTGAGTTTGGAACGGATGAGAGAATTCCACGCAGAGACGCATGTGCAAAGTCACGCAGGCCTGAGAAGAACAAGCAGGCGTATGCTGGAAACAGATCAAGGTCCCCCTCCCACCAAAAGTCCTGGTTCATAGTTTGTCCATTTCTGTAGTGTGAATATTCCTTCCCGGCCAGCTTCAAGCCGCCCGTGTGAGGTCACTGAAGGCTGGGCTTGCTGTGGACTGAACTGTGCTGTTCTCCTCCCAAAATTTGTATGTTGAAGCCCTAAACTCCAATGTGACTGTATAGTAGTCCTCCCCCTTAACCATGGGGGATACATTCCAAGATCCTCAGCGGATGCCTCAAACCATGAATAGTACCAACCCTACATATACCATGCTTTTTCCTATATATCATACTCATGATAAAGTTTAATTTATAAATTAGGCACAGTAAGAGATCAACAATAAGTTCTCTTTGGCAATCCGAATTGCCAGCAACACTACTCTTGTGCTAAATAGTGGCCCCAAAGCACAAGAGATGGGCACAGGTTTCATCAAAATCTGAGTTATCGCTGCTAATTGACCTTATTACTCACTACTCTCAGTCTAAAGAGGTCAGAGGAAACTTGGCTTAGAGGAAGTATGTAGATCCTTTAATAAACTGAACACACATTCATGTAAAAAGCTTTACTGAATTAATAGTGACTTTCTATCATTATGCCTTGTCTAAATTAAAGGGATACTACAAGGATAATTACTATTGTGTGGGGTATGGTGTGAGGCTCCAGACCCACTCTCCGTCTCTACCCTGCCTTGTGCCCTAAGAGGCTGATCTATATGGACCCACATCAACAGACTCCCTTGCCCTCTGGCTTTCAGTTGATTTTGATCAATGGGAGGATGTGGAGGTCAGGGTATTTATTTCCCCAGCTCCCTCCTGCTGAGTGACCTTGGGTTGGTGCATTTCTCTGGTGAAGCGGTCTTTTCCATTCAGCTATTCTGCGTCTTCCCATCACCCCTCCAGGCCTACCGATTGTGTTAGTTTGCTAGGGCTGACATAACAAAGTAACAAACAATGTAACAAAGACTGAGGGCTTGAATAACAAATTTGTTTTCTCTCTGTTCTGGAGGATGGAAGTCTGGGATCAAGGTAGTGGCAGGGTTGGTTTCTTCTGAGGTCTCTCTTCTTGACGGGATAGGTGGCTATTTTCTCCCTGTATCTTGACAGGGTCTTTCTTCTGCGCATGTCTATATCCTAACCTCCTCTTCTCCAAATAGTCACGTTCTGAGGTACTAGGGGTTAGGATTTCAAACAAATTTGGGGGGATGCAATCCAGCCCCTAATAGATGGGAACTGCTCCTGGCCTCTTGCCAGCCCCAGGGGTACCGGGCCATCCTGAGTTGTTTTCCTAAACTCTGCTTACATCTTTGAAAAGTTATCAATTCTCCTCAACTAACTAGTCGGAGTGTATCATCTGCTTCCTGTCCAAATTCTGACTGATACATAGGGGCTCTCCAAAACAGTACACACTAAAAAGGGGACCTCATTCTCAAAATAGTAAGGAAACCCTATATATCTCGGGGAAACTGCTTTCAGATTTAAGCAGGAAAACTATCTTACCAATGCCTTTCTAGGCTCAACGTTTTATTCGAGAGATAACTAAATTCTTTCTTTTTAAGAAACAAGTCACATTTTTATGTGGAATGACATATTTAGATTGGCGCTAACAGGAGAGAGACGGTGGTATTACCGAGCATTACCAAGTACGCTTCCCAACCCCCTTTTCCTATTTGACTTCAGGCTTCAAAACGAAGAAGGCCCTTCCCTACCCAGGCCCCAAAGATCCTTCCAGCATTCACCACCACTCCCAGAGGAGTGGGACAATCCACTCTCTGCCAGCACTGGAATCCCTGTTTGTGAGGCGGAGAGAGTATAGAGAGAAAAACAGCCCTCTCCCTATTTTTACGGGCTCACAGCCGTGCCAGATGACCAGGAGAGGACAGAATGCCGACTGTACGCGGCTGAAAAGCGCAGCGCTCAGGCCAGCTCCCTTCCCGAAGCTTACTTTCTCTTCGGGGGTTCCCGGTTAATCGGAAGCATTCACATTCGCAAGGCCTCCTCGCATACCTCTCTCTCTCTTTCCGGAAACATGCCTTTTAATTCTTATAACCGCCTTCCTAGACAGGTATTTTTCACCAGGAGTAAAGCGCCGGCCTCAAGACACACAGCAGGCCCGCAGCCGAGACAACTCGCAAAGCCGGATCGCAGGCAGAAAGGCGGGGCTGCATCCCTCGCTCATACCACGTGGCCTCGCCCGCCGCTCCCGAGCAACTCGGCAGCCGGCGCATGCGCCTTAGGCCCCACCCGCGCGAGCCCGTCACGTCACTGTAGGGGGCGGCGCTTACGACGGGCAGAAGACGCATGCGCCGCGGTCGGTCCCAGTCGGGTTCCAAGGCGGCTGGCGGCGGCGGCGTCTACGTTTCCGTACCGGCGGCTGCGCGGCCCTGGGTGAGTGTGCGGGCGGCCGGGTTGGACGTCGGCGGGGCTGTCTGGGCCCTGTTCGGGCGCCCCAGGCGGCAGCGGCTTCTGGCTGTCATGGGGGCGCCCTCCGCGCGGGCGGCCGGGACCGGCCCTCGGCCGGGCGCGCGCCTTCGGGCCGGCCCACCTGCGGCCGGAAGTGACGGCGCGGCGCCAGCTCACCTGGGCGGGCGCGGGGCCCGGCGTCTGCTTCTCGGCTGTGTCAGCATCAGCCCGGCCCTGTTTGATCTCCATTCCAGTACTGGAGTTATTTGCAAGAGAGAATCGAGGTAAAAACAAGTCAGGCGTTTGGGTATGGATGTAGGCGAGTAGGAGGAGGAGCAGGCGGATTTAGCTGTAACAGTGTTTCCCACGTAGCATCCGTCTTCACCGCTGTCACCCTGTTCCAGGCTGCAGTCAGTGTTCGCCTGGACGTCTCTCTCCCGTCATCTCCTGGTTACACTGTTCCTCCAGTCCGTTATCCATAGAGTAGCCCAGGTGGTCTTTTACAAACACGAGTTGGGATCACCCTGTTTCAAACTCTTCGGAGTCGCTCCATGGTACTTGGAGTAGGATCCAGGCTCATGCTTTCCCCGGGCGCATGTCACCTAGCCCTTGCCTACCCGTCCGTCTTCGCTTATCCCTGCCCCTCCTCCCCAGCTATGCGCGGATACAACCAGACCTCCGGACCAAGGTCTGATTTCGCCCTCGCCCCAGTGCTCAAAGGGGAGGCCACTGAGGATATTGTTTTCTCGGATGATTAAGCCTTGCAGAGTGGTGGAAGATACTCTCTAAGTTTTACGCAATGAATGGAGTCCTTGTCAGTTCTTTAACTCAGTTATTCGTGTAAAATAGAGTAAAAAATTCTCACTGTGCTCCAGCCTTCTTCCATTTTTCCAAATGCACCAGCTCTGACCAGCCATAGAAATTACATATGTCGTTTCTTTGCGAAATGTTCTCTTTACCTTTGGCCTGATAACTCCTGTTCATCCTTCAGATACTGGCTCCAATATCGCTTTACCAGAGAGGCCTCTCTGACCTCACAGCTACCTCCACAATGTCAGTTAGGTTCCTCTGTTGTTTTGTCCTAAAGAATCCTGTACTTTCCTCTTATAGCAGCTACCGTGATTACATGTGTGTGTAAATATAACAGATAAATACATATTCATATATGTAAATTCGTGTGTGTGTGTAAATGTGTGTCTTTCCCAAGAGACTCGAAGCTCTGTGGGGACGGAAACTAGTTAACCTAGTACATTGTCTCGTGTGATTCTCAAATATTTGTTAAATGGATGATTTATTTCACTTCTGAAGCTCTTTCCCTTCTGATGAGAACTTCCTGTTTTTCAGCTGTCACTCCTAGGAGACTTGCCCTTGGTCCACAGTCAGTCTCCCAGTGGTTCCATGACTTCTGTCTGTCTCCCCCTGCCCCCTTATGGCTTGTTTCTTTTTAATTCACCCAGCTTGGACCCCACAGTGAGTTACTTGAACTACTCTCCTCCTCAGCCCATGCCCTTCTGTCCTTCTGCTACTCCTGCTCTGAAATCCCCCACTGATGACATTTCCCCTGGGATTGCTGGTTACTTAGGGAGGAAATTGTACAGCCTTGGGGGTTGTTGGCCATCCGTGGTTTTTGGGGGCCAACCTCAGATGGGCCTTCCACACGTATCACCAACATTTGTTCCCCCTCGGCTTTTCTCTGGTACAGGACATTTATTCCAGATTCTTATTCTTGTCCAGCTCCTATCCCAGCTTTATCCCCTGACTCAGGAAATGCCCACACTTCCTACCTTATAGGATGTTTTTTCTATGCTCCACCTCAGCTCCTCTCCTCTGCAGCTACAAATTTAGGTACAACAGGAGTCATCCTTCTGCCGGAGTCAGAGAAAGATGTGTTGTGCTTTCTGTTTACTTCTGTACTTGGTCTTTCCCTGCTGCTGTCTTGTACAGCTCTCTGTGTAGGTTGTCTCCCTACTCCCCCTCCAGCTATTACATTCTATAGTTTTTCTTGACCTAATTTTCCTCTCCCAACCCCTTATTACCTTATCATTCCAGCTGTCTCCCTTCCGTAGCCAAGCTCCTTAAGTGGGCAGGCTACCCACGTGTGACCTGTTTTTTCATCTACTCACGTCTGAACCTCTTACAGTCTGGTTTCGTCCCCACTCAAACTTATTTTGCTAAGGTAACTAGTGACCTGCTAATTTCCAAATCCACTGGACCCTTTCTGGTTTCTTTATGTGAACTTCTTGTCTTATTTTCCACTTTTAACTATTCCCTCTTCCTCTTTTTCTATTGCTAGGAGTTTTCTCCAGACATCGTTATTTTAACCTTGTCTTTGTATTACAGTATTATTACTTAATATTTTTGATGAATTAATGTCTTTTTTTTTTCAACTGGAAAAGAAATCCTTGGATACATACAAATAAGAGCAATGAAAATAGGATTGTTCAGTTCCAGCTAGTGTGAACGCTCTGAGCTGGAATCCTGCCCTCTCTGTTGAAAATGGAGACTAGCTGATGATAGAGCACCAAACTGATCCTTTCTCCTGAAAGTGATCAGAAGGCCCAGAAAAGGAGGAACTTTCTTACTCCATTGTTCACTTTTAACCTTTTCAATGTTAGCCTCTTCTTACCCTCTTAAAGGGTCCATGGTACCTGTCATAGCCCTGGGACCCCTGGGGCTGTTTGCTCCACTCTTCTGATGCATCCACATGTCTTCCAGACCTTTCTCCTGAGCCCAGATTTGCGTTTCTGACTGCTGCGGGACCTTACTGGCAGCTCATAGGCTCTCCACCAGCCCCTTCCCTGCTTCCCGTCTGCTTCCTTTCTGAGATTCTCACTGTCATGAGTGAATTCACCAGTGACTCATTGTCCAGGCCCGACTTCAGACTCCTCTCTGAAGTGTACTTCCTTTCAGGGTATATTGAGCACCTCCCGTGTATCAGACCCTGGGCCGGGTTTTCACATCTTAGCTGTACATGTTTCTTGAGCTCCAGACACAGTGCGTTGTCCCTTCCTCTATGTCCACGTGGCCTCTTGCCTCCCCAACAGACTTGCCCCACTGTGTTATTGATGCGCATCTCCTCCCTATAGAGTGAGCTACTCAGGGCAGGATGACACTAAGATCCTGGCATCTTTGTGTCCCAGGGCTTGACTGCTGGGATTGTTGATTTGATAAAGAATGAGTAGGGCTTATTGGGGGCCCTTGTGGTCATTTCATAGAAATAAAGTTTCAGTGCTGAAAGAAATCTTAGTTTATTCACAGATAAATAAAAAGCAAGGCTGTCTCTTGGTTATTGTGTTGCTTTTAAATGTATTTCTTGGATAGAGTTATATAGGCAACATAGTGAATACATTTTCATTCAAGGAGTTCCTGAGTACCTGGAGTAAAATGTAAAAGTTCCCCTTTATTTCTCCCTGTTCCTTCTGCTTCCTCCTCCCAGTTGTTGCAGGTTGAGCGTGCATCTCCAGTCGCTTGGAATGCGTTCCAGACACACGGCTGAGGATACACAGTTTTTTCAGCATAAATTCGTTCATACTATGTGACCTCACTTTAGAAGATTTTTCTGTCAATACCACTGAAAATACTTAATGCCTCCGTTAAATATTAACAACATGCTACACTAAACATCCTTGTACATGTCTGTTTCTCTGGAATGAATACTTAGTTATGTGCTTTTTAAATATTGATAGATATTGCTAAATCACCTTCCTGGAGAGGTTTACTAGTTTATGTTCCTACCAGCATTGTGTGAGGGTGGATCTTCCTTATCAATACTGGATATTATCAGGCTTTACGTTTTTGCCAACCTGATGGGGGAGAAATTATATTGCGCATTGAAATGGAGTTATTTTTGAGAATGTTTTAATCTTTCTCAGATTCTGATTTTAGTGGTGCTGTTCTCTCTTGTTCAGAGTTTCTGTTTGTTGGAGTAAATGTTCAGCCTAAAAGTTTCTAGTGTCAGATTTGTACAGAAGCTCTCTCCTTACATCAGTAAATCTGTACATTACCGTGGATCGTGTTGCTGTAATGTAAACCACTTGTGCCATAGTGCAGTGAAGATGCTGACTTGGAGACCGGCATGCAGTCACATGGCTTCAGCTGATTTGGAGGAGGCTGGGCGTCCCTCAGGGTGTTATTGCCAGCTTTCTTAGCTGGCAGCCCAAGTTGTCCTCTGTTAATGATACTGCAATTTTTCTTCTTTTTGTTTGGTGAGTTTTTCTTATCTATTATCAGAACTGGAGAGGATTATATAATTTGAGCCCTTTTAAGAAAACTTATACTTGAAAACTTGAATTTCTGTAATTGGAGGATGATCAGTTGATTTTTTGAGAAATCAGTCTGCTTTAACTATAAAACGTTTAAGAAGCTATATAAATATCAATTCTATGTTACCAAAAGGCTTACTGAAATTTTTTTTTCTTTTAGATAGTCTGTAGAGGATGCCAAATGAGAGAATCCCCCACTCAAATCAGCCTCAGGAGCAAGAGTGTGTACAGAGTCAGTGTGTCAGTAGTAATGAAGACATGGCAATCAAGCAAGAACGTGATGGCAGTGTGGAGGGGGAGGGGAGCCTCCCCTCTTGTTCCTCTGCTAATGGACCATCCGCTTCCGCCGAGGGGTGTCCGTCAGAAGTTCCGAGGAGAGGGCCGGCCCTGCTGCACATTGACAGGCATCAGATCCAGGCGGTGGAGCCGAGTGCGCAGGCCCTTGAACTGCAGGGCTTGGGTGTAGATGTCTATGACCAGGACGTGCTGGAGCAAGGTGTGCTGCAGCAGGTGGACAGCGCCATCCACGAGGCCAGCTGCGCGGCCCAGCTCGCTGATGCGGAGAAGGAGTACCGGTCCGTCCTGGATGACCTCACGTGAGTGTAGACCCTCTCTCTGATTGCAGAGTTTGTTTGCATATGACGGAGAGATTCAGATAACAGCTGCAGTATTCCAGCAACTTAGGAGATTTATAGCACCTCTTATTTGGAGAATGGAGTCAGTAAGCGCAGTCCGCGACCTTGTGTTCAAACTCCAGCCCTTTTCCCAGGGGCAGCATTGTCCACAGTAGTTAGGGTCTCAGTCTAGCTCACAACAGCCTGTTTATGCTGATGTCCTGGAGGGAAGTACTGTTCTCAGTGCCCCAGAGCTCACAAGCATGTGCACAAAGTGGTTCTCAGGAGAAGTGTACCCAAAGTTCTGATGTGTCCTGTTCAACGTGCAAGGAACACATCCGCCCTCTCACATTTTCCTCTGTGCTATAGTGTTTTTTCCAGTTTCTTGACTGAGTGTCAGTCTTTTGGTAAGTTTTCAGATTTGCATTTCTAGAAATAATCAGAAACAGCTCCCTGCTTTTCCTTTCTTCTGCCTTCCTTTTGACTTTATAAGGAAAGATGACGTCCTGTGGAGACTTTATTTGTGTTTTAGGAGAGAGCCAAACGTGGGCTCTGTTGAACGTTACACAGTGGTGGGAAGCGGGAGTGGAGGACTGAGCTCACTCCCCATTGCCAGTCTGCCCTCCCTTGGCCAGGGTTCTAGGCAGGGGGCAAGCAAGAAAGAGAAGGGAAGGACCGGGTGGGAGGATGGTGCAGTCCCAGATGGGGGCGGCTGGGGGAGGGGAGAGGAGGAAGGAACATGGACTGTTGGCTCCCCCGTGGGGAGGCCATGGTACAGGTGGCTGTGGCACTTAAAGGATGTGTTTTGTGCTAGCAGTTTCCTGGTGTTGTTCTCTTGGCCTCTTGAGTAGCAAGAGTTCTCAAATAGCTATAGTCTGACCTTCAAGTGTGAGGACCTCGATTCCTTATAATGAACACCTTTTACGTTTGACCTTGGAAGTGTGTCCACTGCTTACAGAGGTCACAGAGCAGAGTGCTGCAGAGTCACAAGGCAGGCTAACACTAGACGGATGGTGACATCTGGTCCTTAGACTGCCAGTAATAACATTGATTGATAACATGTTTTATCCTTGCATTGATAGTGTTTTATCCTGAAATACACAAAGGATACAAATAGCAAATTACACACGTGTCAAGATTGAATTTGTGTTTTGAAAGTTGGGAGTTAGAATTCAGTGGTGTCTGTTTTAGGAGCAATGTATTATAAATTGATTTTTTTTCTTTGCACTACAAAGTGTAATGCTACAGCAAATAAGCCTTCCAGTCATGCAAAAGAAAAATATTGTCACAGATGTCTAACTTATATAAGAAAATGTTTAAGCATTTTCAGTTCTTTTCCAAACTTTGGGAGACTTCCCTAATGGGCTTTAAAAACCCATGTATGGGTTGTTGATAATGGGGGAAGCTATGCATGTTTGGGACAGGGGATATATAGGACATCTCTGTGCCTTCCTCTCAGTTTTGTTATGAACCTAAAACTCTCAGAAAATAAAGTCTTTAAAAAAAACCACACAACCGTATATGCGTTTTTTCATATAAAAGGACAACTTATTGCACATTGTTTTAGCAGTCTCTTAAATAAAGTAGACACTTAAAATGCTTATGGAATGAATGAATCAGCTTACAAATGGGAATGTGCTGATTTAAATAAGGCAGATAACAGAAAAACACTAGTAGACATCTGAAACTTGTGACAATCCTTCAGGTTCTCTTTGTGGCCAACAAGAATATGCATGCTGGTTTAGTTGCTTTTATCCTTTAGTTAATAAGAAGTAAAAAGGACATGTATTTAGCATTTCTGTCTTTATATTGAACTATAAAACATGTTACCAGAGTGGAAAATAGACGTTCTATCTTATTTTTCAGGTCATGTACGACATCCCTAAGGCAAATCAATAAAATTATTGAACAGCTTAGCCCTCAAGCAGCCGCCAACAGAGACATCAACAGGAAACTAGACTCTGTAAAACGACAGAAGTATAACAAGGTGATTCTGAATAACGCATTAAATATTGCATTTTTGAAAAAGTCATCCTTTAGGCTCATTTAGTATTTAGGAAGTATTCTGAAAAGTACTTAAAAGATGTAAGGCAAATATTTATAATAGAAAATTTTGTGCTCCTTTTGTATGTTTAATTTTTCAGCTGTTTCCCTTTAACATCCTGTGTTAAAGAGTATTTTTAAAAATACACACACACACACACACACACACACACACGTATTTGATAAGAAGTGCCCCCTTAGGCTTTGCCTGCCTCCTCCCTCATGTCTGCTTTGATGGTCTGCCTTGCTTCACCATTTTCTTTGACCACCCTAGCCTCCTCTTGGGCATGCCGGCCTCTCACTCAGGCTCCTTGTCTTGTGTGAACATGCGTTTTTTCTGCTGAGCTCCTGTTTGCACTGGTTGTGCACGCTCTGTTTCCTGTTGGTGCAGCCATCACCCCTCACACACTTATGCTCACTGTTCCGAGAGGCTGGCCTTGGCTGTGCCAGTCATCACCTAGCCACGCTGACCGGGTCTGTGCTCGGGGGTAGAACTTAAGGGTGGGGGAATATCTATTACTTAAGACATTGTTTTTATGAGGTTTGAGACACTTGTTAGAATTTATGTGTGCTTTGTGAAAATATATTGCCGTAGATAGGCGTGCCTGACTAGTTTTGATGGTTTTATTCTGCCATCCCGAATGACTGACAGATGTCATCATGCTTGCGGTTGGTTCAGTGCAGTGAGTAGAGTCCTTGCATCTCTGATTCAGCTCTGCTGAGGGGGGGTGTGTGGAGACTCCGTTCCTCCTTTTGCTTTCCACTTACCAGTCCATCATCTTCACCACCTGGTCTTCTCTCACCTCACCTCCAGAGTAGCCGCCCAAAGGTCCGAGCTAGCAGTGGCCTAAGGCAGCCAGAGTCTCCCCAAAACAGGGAGGGGGGCATCTTGCCTTTTGTGGGAGCGTGTGGATCAACGTGCAGAGACCTTCTCTGACCCTGGGCTTCTCGTGGGCTGGGGTTTGAAGGAGCGCAGAGGACCAAACTTTAGGCCACTTTACGTACTAGTCTTAACTCGATTGTACATCCTCTTTTTCCTTAGTAGCTCTTTCATGATTAGAGATAGACTGTTCAGAGAGAAAGGCTGTTTTAAATGAGACTTTGCTGAGAGAAGGAAAGACTCCAAGAGGAAAATGAATTGCAGATCATCACAACTTGGCATTTGCATTCAGGATTTCCCCTCGCCCTGCGCTTATTTGGCAGTTAAACATTCTTGACCTTGGGAAGAACCAGGTCCCACAGGCCGGGTTAATTGGGGAAGATAGGAATGGCCCCAGATCTGAGCTCTGATGATATAGAGGGAGGCAAGACAAGGAGGCGTCTGGGTGAGTGGGGTAAAAGAGTGTCAGAATAAATTTTCCTTTTAAAATGTTGTGGTTGGGTAGAATACTATAAAGGACAATATGGTAGGTTGTCCAAGGGGGCTGACACTTTCAACTGTCTGAACGTTTGAACAAATGTGTTTGTGTTTCTTATCCATGCAGCCTGTTGACCTCATAGCCCCCGGCTGCTGAGGTCAGAAACACACAGAAGTTTAGTGATTGCTCCAGTGAGTAAGGGGGCAGCCGAGTAGACATTTCTACCTCCAGAGTCAGCGGAGAGTCAGAACACGTGAACCCCAGTGCTCGGCGTACAGAAAGCTGTGCCGCTGCTCTGGAGTGCAGGTGGGGACAGGGATGCGCGCCTGGTGGCAATACTTTGAGGGCTGTTTCCTGCTAGAAAAGTGGCAGTTTCTCAAATAAGATTCTTGATAGTAATAGTAATGTGTGGAATTTATTTTTATTTTGCTCCTGATTAAAGTTTTTCAATTTTATAATGCTGTCTTTTGTATCTAACAATAAATTACTTCATTGCCATTTTGTGTGTTGAACATTTACCATTTAAGGAACAACAGCTAAAGAAGATCACAGCAAAACAGAAGCGGCTCCAGGCCATCCTTGGAGGAGCGGAGGTGAACATTGAACTCGATCATGCTGGTCTGGAGGAGGAGGCTGCAGGTGAGGATGCTGGGAACAATGCCACTGTGTTTTTGAACTGATCCTAGGCCTGACGTCAGGAGGGTGTCTCTTCTGTCCCAGCCTGGGTTTTGAGAAAAATACATTTCTTTGCCTTAGTGTCAAAACAGATTTAGGAAAATTTTATTCTCTACAGTGTACCTGCAGAACCAAGTCTTTTTAAGTCACGGGGTAAAATTTTTAGAGAATGGAAGTAAAGGTTTAACTCAGTCTACTGGAGGCTGCTGGTGCACATTTAGTATTATGTTTAATAAATTAGAAATCTTAACATTCTTGTATAGTTAATTTCATGAAGGCAGCTAACATCTTGATTGAACTACATTTTGTGAGCCCAGCATCATTAATGAACATTGTTAAAACTGCTTTCGCATACCTTTTTGGGACATAGTGGGCAGACTTTCCAAGCATCAGTTCTGTTGTTTAAGAAAAGACATCTTCATTCAGGTTATACCGTGGCTGTGATTTTGTTTATGTCACTACCTTGGATGGATGTCTTTTGGAAAACCTTTTGGGAAAATGCATAAGCTTTGAAATGCAGTGTCTTTTAGTCAGTGTTTGTGTATGCATGTTTAGAAATTGGTAGCCATTCAGTCATTTATTACTTGAAATATAGATTAAGGCTTCTTAGCATTAAAGCTATTGAAGCAAATATTTTCTACTAGCTTCAGAAGTTTATTTAATAAGACAGAATTATGAAGAATTAATTGAGATGATAGAAAAAATATTAGATATGCTTTTAAAGTTCAGTCTCAGAATCCATTGCGCCTACGACCAGTGCTTTCTGCACCTGAGGTACCATATTTCTCACAGGTAACAGACCTTTGTTCCTGCCTGTCTGCCTAAAACGTGCTGCTGGCTTTCACCTCCTGTTGCTTCTTTGGTAAAACTTTGCCCGGGATTCAAAGTTACTTCCACAAATCCACAGCCCCTTGTCACCTGTGCTCCACTTGGCCTGTCTGGAGCAGCTGATGCTTCTGTGCCTTCTGGGGTCCCTGTCTCTCTCCTGGTTTTCCTTTCAGTCCTCTCACCATTTCTGATTAGTTATTTTTGGCCAGCTTTTCTGGCTTTATCTTAAATGTTGCTGATTCTCAGCATAATAAGATAATAAGAGGATGAGCCCACTTCTTGTTGTACTGCCTCTCCCTGGATAATCGCAGTCACTCCCCATGGTGCTTGTGGCCACCTGAGTTCTAGTATTTTACAAATCTGTAGACCCATGGCCTTGCCCTTTTTCTGAGCTCCTGGTGCCTGTTATATCTCTCCATCAGACGCCAGCCAACACTTGAGACTCCTGGTCTCTCTCATTGCGCTCCCTCCTCCGCCCTTTCTTGTCCCTGGTGCCCTCTGCCCTGTTGGGGGGCAGTAGCACAGAGTGTCAAGGAGCACAGGCTTTGGGCGCTCCAGCTCTGCGTTACCCAGGTGTGGATGTTGGCTGCGTTCCTTAACCTTGCTAAGTCTGTCTTGAACCCACGAGATAGAGATAGTATAGTAGGCCTTCATTTCCCCTGTTCTCCACATAGTGAGCCATTTCATAAGTTGTTATCAGGATTATCTTATAAAGAATCCTTTTCTGGAAGTGGTGGGTCAACTTTGCAGCAGTTGGCTTTGCTCCTCTGATCTGGGATGAGACCAGATGTTCACTATCACTTTTTATATTCAACATTGGACTGCACAGTCTAGTAATGAAAAAAAATAAAAACCATAAGGATTGGGGTTGGCCCTGTGGTGTAATGGTTAAATTCACATGCTCCATTTTGGCAGCTTGGGGTTCATGGTTTTGGATCCTGGGTGTAGACCTACGTGCCGCTCATCAAGCCATGCTGCGGAGGCGTACCACATACAAAATAGAGGAAGATTGGCATAGATGTTAGCTCAGGGCCAATCTTCCTCACGCCCCACAGAAAAGTAGTAGTATAAAGATTAAAGAGAAGAGATAACCATCATCATTCACAGAATACATGATTGTTTACGTAGAAAATCCAAAAGAATGGACAGTCTGTTGGAATTAATATATGAATTTAGCAATATCATTGAATATAAGGTCAATACACAAAAATCAGTCATATTTCTATAGCCCAGCAAAAACAAAAAATAAAATTTAATAAAAATGCCAATTATAATCGAAATTAAATACCTCGAAATAAGTCTTGGCAAAAAAAATCTGGTTTTCTGCAGTGCTTTTTACTTTAAAACTATAAAATGTAGTTAAAAAGTTAGAGGTCTTAAATGGGAAGATACACCATGGTCATGAGTCGGAAGATATGATATTGTAATGATGTCAGTTCTATCCATCTATAGTTTCAATGCAACCCCAGTATAAATTTTAGGGGGTTTTTTTGAGGAAGAGAATGTGGGTGGGAAGTGTAGGATGAGGGTGGAGGACGTTAACAAACTGATTCTGAAAGTTATATAAAAATGCATTGGGCCAAGAGTAACCAAGGCAGTCTTGAAGAAGAACAAAATATCAACACTTGTTATCAAGTTAAGTAATTAAGACAGTGTGGTATTGGTGCAAGGAAAGACAATTAGACCAATGGGACAGAATAGAAGGTCCAGCAAACAGACCCTCCGTATATGGTCACTTGATTTATGACAGATGTGGCCCTGCAATGCTGTGCATAAGAATCATCTTTTCAATAAGTGTGCTAAGTTAATCCACATGAAGATAAGATGAATCCTGTCCCATTACACCATGTACAAAAATAAATTCCAAATGAATTGTAGATCTAAATGTGAGTGGTAAAACAAAGCTTTTAGAATATAACATTGAAAAACATTTTCATGATCTTGGAGCAAAGACTTAAGACAAAAATGCTCACTGTAAAGGAAAAGATTTGCAAATGAACTATATTACAACTAAGAACTTCTGTTCATCAAAGGATAGCAGTAAGAGAGTGAACAGGCAAGCTGCAGAGTGGGAGGAGATGTTTGCAGTACATGTGTCAATCAAAGGACTTGAATCTGGAAGCTGTAAAGAACTCCTAGAAATTTTTCCTTTTTAAGGCAAACCACCTATGAGAAAAATGGGTAAAAGACTTGAACATTTTCTTTAAAAGAGGCCATCCAAAAGATCCATAAATCTATGGAAAGGTACCCTAGTTCCTTAGTCATCAGGGAATACAAATCAGAACCACAAAGTGGTACTGCTTCACACCTACCAGAATAGCCAAAATGGAATGGCAGGGGTGTGGACCAACTGAAGCTCTCGAACACTGGGTGGAACTTCAAATTGATAGGACCACTTTGGAAAAGTGTTTGGCACTGTCTATTAAAGCTTAACATACCCAAAGAATTATATACATCTATTACCAAAGAATGTATGCCAGAATTTCATAGCCTTATTCCTAGTAGCCAAAACCTGGGAACTACACAAACGTCCATTAACAGTGGGATGGAAAAATTGTATGTAGTTTCATAACAGAACACTAACAGCAATGACAGTCAACACACTGCAACTATAATCAACAAAAAGTGTGAATCTCATGAGCGTGACGTTGAGCAAAAGAAGCCAGACACGACCTTTCCGTTCACCGAAAGTTCAAAGCCGGGTACAGCTTGTCTATAGTAGTGTTAATAATCAGGTCAGTCATCATCTTGGGGTGCAGTAGAGGCCAGGAGGCACCATGAAGAGCACATCTAGGGGTGCTAGTAATTCTGTTTCTTGATCTGGATGCTGGTGTATGGGGATTTTTTTCCTGAAAATTCATTGAACTGTACACTTAGGATTTGTGTACTTTCTAATGTGTGTTTTTCTTCACCATAAGTTTAATGAAAAACTCTCTGTGGCGTTATTGGCCTACAAGAAACATATTTTAGCATATTGATTCTTTCCTGTTAAGCTTTCCTTCTTTTGGCATTTTGGCTTTTGGTAAAGTAATTTTGCCAGAGATTAATTTCAGCTAATGAAAGGGATGATTTCTGGGTGACTTTGTACCATTATGGCATAACTTCCCATTTTAGTCATCTCTTCAGGCAGTTAACTTCACCCATCTAACACAGTGTGTCCATTAGACCTTTTGGCAGTGATGGAAGTGCTGTCTGTGTTCTCCGTTATGGGAGCCATTAGCCTCGTGTGTCTCTTAAGCACTTGAAATATAGCAGGTGCAACCAAGGAACTGAATTTTCAGTTTAAATTTAAATAACTATGTGGTGACTGTCGTATTGGGGGTGGAGAGCTAACGTTTTTACCAATTAGGTGCCTGCTGACTTTTTAAGTGTCTATTTCTAGTTTTCTCCTGTCTCTTGAATTTCAGTCCATCAGAATGCTGGTGTGAGCAATGACACCGGAAGCTTGGGAGATTGCTTCCTGATGGACTACCTTTAATTAATAAGGAAACTCAGCTAAATGTATCTCTCTGTATGTTACGTATGAATACCTCTGTCTTGGATGCACAGAGAGTATATTTATAATGCAGTATTTTGGAAGAAGTTCTTTTGGGCGGGAGTACGCTTTAGCACATCAATGATTTTTTTTTAATATGAGTTATTTGTAGGTGCCTAGTGTTGATTGAATAAGTGAATACATCTGTTGTCCTCCTGGACAGTTTCACGCAAGTGCCCAATGCCTGTCATCCTCTTTCAGAACCGGGGCCGTCCTCTCTCGGCAGCATGCTCATGCCTGTCCAGGAGGCTGCTTGGGAGGAGCTGATCCGCACTGGCCAGATGACACCTTTTGGTACCCAGATCCCTCAGAAACAGGAGAAGAAGCCTAGAAAACTGATGCTCAATGAAGCATCGGGCTTCGAAAAGTATTTGGCAGATCAAGCGAAACTGTCTTTTGAAAGGAAGAAGCAAGCTTGTAATAAAAGAGCAGCTAGGAAAGCTCCGGCTCCCGTCACTTCTGAGCTGATCCCAACGCTCAGTGAAAACAAACCAGACGAGAGAAGCAGAGTTCTCTCGAAAGCAGATAAGCGCTTGAAGAAGCGCATCGGGAAACTCCAGAAGAGGGCTCTTCAGTTCCAGGGGAAGGTGGGGTTGCTAAAGAGAAGGAAGCCCTGGGAGTCTGATGTGAGGCCAAAGGCAGAGGGGGACTCCGAGAGTGAAGAGTCTGAGTACTTGCCCACGGAGGAGGAGCAGGACGAGGCGGCCGGGGCCGACCTGTCTGGAGAGGGCACCGACTGTGAACTGAGGCCTGTGCTCAAGCGCCCGAAATGGCCGAAGAAGGTCACAGTGCAAGAGATTGACGATGACTTTTTTCCAAGTTCGGGGGAAGAAGCTGAAGCTACAGGAGGAGGAGGAGGTCGGAAAGTAGTGAAATGCCGAGACGACGGAGATGAAGATTATTATAAGCAGCGGTTAAGGTCAGTCTGCACAGATTGTAAACTGGTTGTCCTGCTTGCTTTATCTTAGGCGGCAGGTTTATTAATAAGTAAGAGTTCTAGATCCTGCTGAATATGTTAGACCCCTGTTTGTCCTTAGCCCGCTACAGCCAGCTCCTCAGTGGAGCTGACTCAGATGCTGCTTCCAGGTCTTCATTCAGATTTGGGGGCCAGTCTCAGAAGAAAGCTCAGGGGAAGGGCTGGGCAGGAGGCACGCAGAGGACTGGAGCGTGAGCTGTGTGCCTTTCCCTGAGGGTGGCTGCCCTGCAGCCAGGCTCAGGGAGGAGAAGGCAGGCTTGTGTGGTGTCTGCTGGGGGGCTGGTTTTTGCTTTTGAAGCAGGAAAGTAATTTTACAGGTCTTCCTTTCCAAAAAAGCTGAAATTTAAGCTTTAGCATGGGAAAGAATAAGCTTGCTTTCTTAAATCCCTCCTTCCTTGTCTTGAAACAGTAGTTATCTACAGAATTATAAACCACTGTGGTACCAGAAATGTGCTTTGTATGCACAGCATACTCTTCTTGTGCACTGTCCTTTTTTACACTCGAGGCTCACTTTGGCTCTTGTTTCTGTGACTCTGTCAGTATGTGATGCAGGTAAGATAAAAGGGAAGGTTTGGGGCCAGACCCGTGAAGTAGTGGTTAAGTTCAGTGTGCTCCACTTCGGCAGCCCAGGTTCATGGATTCAGGTCCCAGGTGTGGACCTACACCACTCGTCAGCCATGCTGTGGTGGTGACCCTCATACAAAATAGAGGAAGAATGTCACAGATGTTAGCTCAGGGCCAGTTTTCCTCAAGCAAAAAAAGAGGAAGGTTGGCAATAGATGTTAGCTCAGGGCGAATCTTCCTCAGCAAAAAATAAATAAAAGGGAAAGTGACCATGTTTTGAACTCAGTATTGCAAATTGTCACACATTTTTTTGTGAGCCAAGAGAAACAGTTTGTCCGCTGCAGGTTTCTCCACCATGTCCCTCGGAGCATGACATGGCACTACCATGTCTTGAGTGTCGTACATTAGCTTACTAAGAGCGCTAAGAGACTGAGAGGGATAGAGGAATTTGTTTAACAGATTACTTTTTTAGTATTTGCTCCCAGGATGGCTTTTTCCCCAATCCTTAACAATTTTTTCTTATTGCTCACTGGAGGGAGACCTAGTTGATTGTATTTCCTCTAGCTTTCCACTGGCCTTTGTGAATGAAGATTGATCTGATAGTTTTGCTTCTGTTATTTAGAACTGCTAATGACCCACATCCATTCCTTAATCTTTTAAAAATAGATGCAGCATACTCTTTTTACAAAAAATTTGGGGACCCGTGACCTAAATCCAGCTCTTCAGAGCTGTTACACTCACATTGTAGTAGTACCTTGTGTAGTAATACATGGATGAGGATTGGCTTAAATGTGTCCTTTCTCATTGCAACTTTGAAGTTATTTTGTACATTTAGTATCTGTAAAGTTGTTTGAGGGCTATTTCTCAACGCTTGCACAGCGAGCAGTGTTGGGCTTTTTCTTAACTACTGTAGAGAATTAATAAAAGTGTTAATCTCAACATATTGATTACAGATGGAGCAATACATTCTCCCCATTAAATTGGATCAATATTAAATATATTTTAAATATATCAGTATTTTGATCAAGAGCATTTTATTTTGATTGAATTTTAAATATGGGTTTTTTAAATTCATGGCAATAAGTTTTTCTTAATGTCAAGATTGTAAAACTGTTATTTCCAAAGCCATATCATAAGCTGTTGTTTTTTTGCTAAAGTTACAGTGAAATCTCAAATGAATTTCAGAAATATCAATAACTCTAATTGCCGCCAAAATACTATAGCTCTTAAAATTTTATAGCTACAGTTATTAAGGCTGTTAAACTGCGTACATCCACATTGCAGTGTTTGTACTGCATCTCCTTTGGTACTCTTTGGATTGGGGGATGTTAAAAGAAAAGAAAATGCTCAGGATTGAGGAGCATATTAAGAACATTTGAGAACTTGCAGTCACTCTTTATGTTTTATTACTTCTTGCTGATATTTGTAGACAGATTGAAATTGTAACGACATTCCCTTGAATGAAGAAAAAGACCTTTAGGATTTCTTATATTAGCCATGGCTTGATGACAGATCAGAATAAAGCTCCATATAGTTCACAACATAGAAACTGAGTTTTTCTGGTTTGAATTTAATGGTTAGAATTTAGGAATATATACCAGGCTAGGCACATTTTATTAAACTTAAATGTGTGTTGGTTATAGCCCTATTAATTATGATGCTCTTTTAAACTCTCGGAAGTAAAAGTGGGTGACTCTTGGCTGTCTCATCCCGTTTATTCTTTCAACTTAGAGTTATGGTCTTTCCTTAGCTCTCAGTTAGTCCTGACGGGGTATCTGTTATTAGCTGATGCTCAGTGGAAATTTCCTCTCAAGCCTTTACTATAGCTTAATCTCTTCTGGAACTGGATAATAACACACATGATCCTACTTTCTCTGATTTAGCCTAAGACCTCAGATCAGCCTTTCAGGTTTTAACCTGCTCATGTATTTTGCCTTCCCCACCTTCTTGCCCTGCTTCCTTGTCTGTACTCCGTTTCATTTGGAGGCTGTCTCCTCAGTGGTGGTCCCTGATGCTCACACTTCTGACAATGTACTAGGATGGATGAGCCACTTCTTAGAAATGAATACTCTGTCGTTTCTTATTCATGTCAGTGGTAATCAGATCTTATAAAACACCCATTATTTTTTCATTTTCATTTTGTGGTACTAAAGTTTCCATTAGTATATGGCTTTCAGTTGTGAGGTTTAGCTCTTTCTTAAAATATATTGCTGCTTTAGAAAGCCTAGGGTGTGGGAGCTCCAGGAGCGAAATAAAGACTTAATAGAAGTCACACACATTCGGTGTTTGAGTGATGTGTGTCCCTGACTTACATGTCACTTATCTTGTCCAGTCTGTACAGCGAGGACAGCCCAGAATGGCCAGGAAGACCAAACATTTCATATGTGCTCCTTTCCCCTCCGCAGATCAAAGATCAGCCGTCCTTGTTCCTCGATCTTGTTGATTCATTTTCCACTCGAGATGAGAGGTCAGCTCCCATTGCATCTTCTTTGCCCTCACTGCATGAATGCATGTCTGCATTCTAGGACTGGCTTCTAGGGTTTCTGGCAAAGAATTTGCAGTCTTTTAGCGGGGGTCATGGGCACAAGTAGGACCTAACCAGTGTGAGGGGACTAATGAATTCAGAGTGAGGCGTTCTGGGTAGACTGTGGAGGAGGTCCATCGGAGCACGGGGCCCTGTCTGTTGGCGAGTTCAGATATGTTGATATGGACTTTAGGATGCAGCTAAAAACTTGCCACCTTGCCCCACAACTGCAGGTGCGTCATTGAAAAGGAAAAGTTGCTTTGCTTTGGAGGCTCATGTTTCCTCAGGGGTCTCTTGGATTTCCTTGGAGACTGGTGTGGTGTCCGTGGTATGCAGAGAGGCCCAGTTGCTGAGCTGTCCACGTTAGGACGGGGAGGGCATGTAGCCCCTGCCTCGCCGGCCAGCTCCCATCTTGGACAGTGGCAGTCTGTGCAGGGGGAGGCTGGGGCCCTGTTTGGGTTCCCTGGGAAAGAGTGCCACAGTCCATTAGTGATGTCTCCCTGGGGTTGCGGACCATGGAGGGGAAGCAGCAGCATGCATGCCAGCCGTTTGCCAACCTTGAGATATAACACAGACAAAAAAATGTCACCAACTCTTGCCTCTTCTGCCAGCAGTGGTCAGTGCTGCTTGGGTGAGGCTTGGGTATAGGTCAGGTGGCATCCCAAGTGAGAGACTGCCCTTCTGAAGAAGTCTTGTCTCCTTCTGGCCTGCCTAGAGTTAGCTTTTATAATTGGACTTACACCCATACCTTAAAGCTCTTGTTTCTATTTCCATTTGGCAGCCATTATTGTTGAAGTTGCTAACCTAACAGCCTCTGTTTCCTTGGCAACAAGCATAGCCTAAAGCCAAGGTTCCCAGCCCTGGGGCGGATTCTTCCCCTAGGAGCCCAGCTATTGGAGGTGCTGAGTCAGCATGTCTAGCATGGGGCTACTGGACAGTGATTTTAAAACTTTTCCAGGTGATTCTGATGCGCTGTCAACTTTGGGAACTACTTGATGTGTATAAGTCGATTTTATGTAGTCTTTTCTGAGCCTGTAGCTTTTGGCACATTCGGTTTGTATATCTCTAAAATCTACGTACCCTGCACGATTGTGTTTATGTAGGAGAGGGCCTAGAGAGGAACTTTGGGGTCGGTTCACTCAGCTAAATGCTGTAGGTAACAGATCATTTGGTTCTTATCAGGGCATGTGCCTCAGAATTGCCTGGGAAGCATCCTCAGGGCTCGGCCTGGAGCAGCTGAGGCCGCAGGGCAGGGTGGGAGGTGCTGGGCCGTGCCCTTGCACTTGCACTACATTTCATTCCAGTCTTTGATCCTATGCATACATATCTTCCAATTGTTATAATTATGATAGGCTGTACAGCGCTTTATCGTGGCCCTTTCAAGTTGATCGACTTGCTCATGGTCTCACTGTTAAGAGAGAGAGCTGGGGGTTGAAGCCAGGACAGGGTTGTGGAAATGCCAGTTTCCATCCATCTGTGGAATTGGGTGGAATGTGCAGTATCTAGATGTGACCACAAGGTGGTGCCAAGAATCAGCGCATGGTGTCTCCACCTCCCTGGACTGGAAACCAAACCAAAAACCGAAGGCAGGCATCTGGGAGTTGGTTGAGGATTTGGGGAGATTGCTAGGGAGTCTGGAAGACCTGACAAGGATGGTGTGAATTGGGGTAGAAGATTTGCCTCGTGATCTAGTGTAATCTGAGTCTGTAGTCATGGTGCTTGTTGATGTAACTGATTTTTAATATGTTTTTTTTTTTTTAAAGATTTTATTTTTTTCCTTTTTCTCCCCAAAGCCCCCCGGTACATAGTTGTATATTCTTCATTGTGGGTCCTTCCAGTTGTGGCACGTGGGACG